CTGAGCTGGGTTTTGGGGAGGGGTTGCAGTAGTGAACCACAGACCACCAGCACGGGTCGTGGTCTGACCTACGGTCCGTGGATGGCAACCGTGGGTTGCAGCTACAACTTCTCAAAATCTGCATTTTTGGTCTGTTTCGGATACGGGGTGTTACAGCAGTAGTCCTTAAGCCTCAATTTCTGCATGAAGTACCACATTTATGATAGCTATATTTTTGAAAATATGGTTGACTTAAAAGTGCAGTGAAGTTTAGCTCAACACATAGCAACCATTGGCTCAAATTTGGCCAAAAGTATAGCAAATAGCTTAGTCCAAAATTCAGCAGTAGAAAAAGAAAACATACAACAACTCGAAGCTCAGAAAACATTACAAAATGGAGCAGCAAAACGCCAAAATGGAGCAGTGATTCAACTTCAAAATGAGGTGTCAAACTATAGCAGTCAACCTCATCAAAGGCAATAATTAATTCTCATCAAAGACATGAGGTAACGATAAATTACATGCCAAGCAAAAATTAAATAAGCAAAGTTGTTTCACTATTAGCCTCAGTAGATTGTAGCAGAAAAATGGTCAAAGTGTTGAATTGTTCATCAAGGGAAGCAACTATTATCAACAACATCAAGCCACAAATTCGCCCAAAACACAACATCTATATTTTTCTTTTAAGTAAGGTATCTGTCGAAATACATCTATATCATATTAATTTACCTGAGAATCTGCTCGTGCAAATATAAGCACGTTGAGAGAATTCGAAAAAGCAAGCCCAGATATTCTTTTATGATGTCCTTTGAGCTTTGTCTTTACCTACCCAAAGGGATCATACTTGATGTCAACAAATTTAAACTAAATACTGAATTAGTAATATTTCGAAAATTACATAATGAAATAAATGTTTGAATAGCTCAACCTCGTCAACTCGAACATTATATATCTGGATAGAGGAGTCATCTATTCCTATGGTAATAACATTGTGATCTTGAGGATAAAATTCCAAAAAGGTTGTTGCGGGTGGGGTGGGCATAAATGTTGTCATAGTCTACATTTGCAACAGATACAATATATAGATTAGTGGAAAGAAAAAAAAAGCAAAATAATATATAACTTCATGCAACTAATTCCTGATTTATAGCTTCTTAGCTGAACTATTAGGCTAAAGCTAGAGTGCAAGTTGCTCAAAGTTTTTCTCTTTCATCCCTATATGCAACAAAATTACCTGTGGACAACTGATGAGTTGGGGATTTCGACTCATTTAGGACTTTATCTTCATAGTTTAATTATCCTCAATACCTAATTTATGCTCAAAACTGATGTTAAAGTGTTTATTTGCAGCAATGAAGGAAAAAGAGCAAGGCAAGGACATTATAAGGCAAAAAAGAGCGAAAAATCTGAAGAAGTTGAAGAAGGGCAATCCTGGTGATCTCCAAGACTACTCGGTGAACCGCTGAGAGGTCCCTCAGCTCGCCTAAAGTTACAGTGTGATTGCCCTTGAACAAAGGCAACTCGATGGTGGAGCGTATTCTTCGGCGGTTTACTGAATGGATCAGCGAAGGAGCATTTGCCCGCCTAAAGTTATAGAGTGACTAGGAAGATGCAAACAAAAACGGCGGTAAGAAGGGACAGTTGGCGCATCGCCAACCATTTCGGTGAACCCGACTTCGATCGCCTAAAGTCACAACACTGAAAGGGTATAGACTCAAGTCAAAAAGGCGATGGACAAGAGCAATTGGCGTGTCGCCGACCTGTTCGGCAACGCTCGACTTATTCTGCCGAATGACCCTAAAGGCAAAAAAATGGAAACGTACAAATTGAATTTTGAAAAGAAAAAGAGATATCCCCATACGTCCTCAGTCTGGGTTTTCTGATCTTGAACACCAAAAACATTGCCTGAGTAGTGTTTGAGGAGATTTTCAAGTGGGTTTTGAAATATAGTTGATTGGTAGCTTTGTAAAGACTTGGAATTCATTACCCATCTCATGGACAACATATTTGGTAAGCTTTCATTGCTTTTTATAATGTGTGGCTAAATTCTCCATTCTTGGGGGAGTGATTATGTGATTAATTACTCTAATTAGCTTATGGGTGTTTTGATTTACTAATTTCAATGTTGGTTTGAAGTGGGTTTGATTGATAGTTGTGTTTTACTTCATGAATTGTAATTGAAATTTCGATTCCAACTTAGTATTCTAGGCTTTCTTGAGAAAAAGGTTTTATAATTAAGGTTATCGATTAATGATTGTAGTGATTGGTTTATCGTTGATTCAGCTCGTGAGAGTGAATCTAAATTCGATCCAACAATCTAGCTCGAGAGAGTAGATTAATTGAGGTGTTGGGCTGCTCACATTGTTTTACTTGTCGAGGTTCGAGAGAACTAGCCTAAATCACGATAGTTGATCGAGAGATGGTTATCGTACTTAAAGCCTAGCCTACCTGCTAAGATTCAATATCTTTTAGTAAATAGAAATCACCCATATAACGAAATTAGCATTTAATCAATCACATTCTCGAGAATATCCCTCACCCTGAGTATTACTCTATTTTCATAGTTGTTAATTGATAATCTAACCCCTCCCCCACCCCCACCCCTCCACACCATTTGACATTTATTGACCACCCCTTAAATTTACTTTAATTGGTTTTGATAATGTTTACTTCTACAAACAACTAGAACACGTTTGTTACTTCGTAATTGAATTTTATTCCATATCACTCCTTGTGGGATCGACCCCAATTCCTCGTTGGGTTTATACTAGATAGAGACCACCTACACTTAGAATTGGATGAAGTGTAGTTATGACTTACTATTCTTAGACCTTGCTTGTTGATTGTTCTAGCATGATGATTTGATAAGTGTTGGGTTGGTATTTGAATTGATTTAGCCTTATATTGATAGTTTTGGATAAGGTTTGGGTTGATTATGATTAGTGTGGTGTTATGTTTGTTCCTATGAGTTGTGAATACGCTAGAATGATATTAGTTTTGAGGTTGTTGAGTCTAAGCCTATGGTTGACTAGTATTTACCTTAGGTGTTGATTTTTGTGGCCAGTAGGGCTTGATTTGAAGATTTTAGGGTGTGCTAAGTTCCGATAAGGATTTCCGATGTAAGATTTTGGGAAGGACTAGTTATTTAGACGTAAAATTTCGAGAGGTGCTAGGTTACATGGTGTTATTCCGATGTCATATTCTGAGAAGGCATTCGTGTTTATTAATGAGTTCCGTCTTTGTAGTGTAGCAATTGTGTGTACCCATTCGGTCGGATGTTTGATTGTATGATTATTGTTGCTATGACATTGTTTGTTTTCAGAGCTTATGGGGGTCCAACTAGCTATTAGATAACTTTATTGCTTTCGTAGTTTACCTTAGTATCTTTACTATGATTCATGTCTAACTATGCTTTACTTTAGTATCTTTACTATATATATATATCTTATTTTTGTTGTTTCTGATGAAATTTAATGTGTCATCATGACCTAAGTTTTTGGATCACAACACATTCTTTTCATCTATAGTGTAAAATAGTTTTTGAAAATGATCAAAGTTGCAATTGATCTTAAAAATATAAAATACCAAATATTAGAAGTTCTTGTGTCTTACAAATAAGTAAAAATATAATAGATATAATTTTAATTAATTGAGAACAATAATTAAATCATGATTATTCGAGAAAATAATAAATAACAATTTTGTTTAATTGACTTCGAAGTAATTAGAGTTATAGCAATTTTCACATATAGTAAACACAAAAATCATATTTGTATGTTATAGCTATAGTTTGCATAATTGTGCTCCATAGCAAACATAAATATGTATATTTCGCTATACATATACAAAAGAAAGCAGTTGTATGTAATCTGCTTCTGTTTCGGTATACATATACAAAAGATCAATTGTATAATCTATGTTTGTATAAAGCGAGAAAGAGAGAAAGGTAAAAGAGAACTGGACAGGGGAATATTTGTATTGTATAATTATAAGTGTATAGGACGAAGATATATGTATTTGCATGTGTATATACATTTTTCTCTCACTTTATACAAACAGAAACACAATTTATACATTTCTGTTTGTATAAGCGAGAGAGGCGGGGAGAGACTGACGAGCGAGATCTGGGAGAGTGGCGAGCGAGATCTAGGAGAGGGGAAAAAAAAATATATACAATTTTCTCTCGCTTTATACAAACACAAATGCATTTTATACATTTGCGTTTGTATAAAAAGCGAGAGAGGCGATGGAGAGAACGAGAGTGGCGAGCGAGATTCACCAGGAGAGAGGCGAAATAGCAACAGTTTGTTATGGGTACAATTAAATCAAACTATGTTTATAACATTTAATTTGAATTAATAATTTGCTATTATATACAATTTTTCCTATAGTAATTGGCTGTTTACTTATTTGTAATAAGATGTAAGAACTAATTCAACTAATAAATATATTATATTTGTTCTTTAATATTTGATTTAAAGTCTTAAATATCAAAAAGATTATTTTAAAATTTTATACTAAGAAAATAACATAATTGAACACAATATTTGTATTAATTATTTAGATAAATATAATATTTATTTTAATGTCAGTTATAATTATTTAATAATTAATATTCTTATATGGAGTGTATAATTTTATTAATTGTTGTAACACCTACTAAACATGTTTGATAATCTAGTAAAAGGAAATAAGGTAAAAAAGATTGAACAGAAGGACAATGCATTTATAAAAACTTGTGATGTATATTGTAAAAGTAAAAAAAAACAGCTGCGGGCTACATGATTTTGCAGCCACTTCAACCTCTCTCCATTTCGGTTTTCCCCTTTAACCATACTATATTTCTGTACCAATTTCCAATATAGTCAAAAAAGTTGATACACAGTCAGAAGTCAGAATAGTTTAATTGGTTATCTATCTGAACTTCCACCTTGTTGGTATTGATTTGATTTCCACTCTGTAATTTCATTCCCTACCCTCAAATTTTTTTTCGAAAAACAAACACTCGGAAATATCCTACTTTTCCCACAAATTAAATAACAATACCCTTTAAATGTAACTCTATTCTTCCCCTCCATTCACTTTTTTTTTTTTTTTTGGATTTTATATTTTGAAATTCTTTCCGGTGAAAGTTTGGCCAAATTGCCAATGAGAAGGAACAATATTCCATGAAGTAGAAGAGCGGTGGTCACTAGCTTTAACCCTGAAAGAGAGTGATTGACCAGTTAAAACCGCATTTGATTGCCAATTTTGACCCCAATTACGGCTCAATGGAATCCAATTAGTCTTTGTTCCTTTTACCCAAACTTTAATAATATCTCCTGCACCTGCTACATTCGTGATCAAGACTAAGTTAAAGTAACGGAAACCATTGATTGTGAACCTGATTCCTCCTTGCTTGCGGCATGGTATCCTGCACATTTCACAAATATACATTACTATTATTATGGAATGTCACATAAACATTATTTCCGATAGTACAGAGGTATATTTAATTGATTATTACCTGCGATAAGTAACAGGAACAATGCCAGCACGGTACTGAGCAAGCTTGAGAAACATAGGCATAGTGAGATCAAAGTGAGAGCGAGGAGGATTGCACCAGCCACCATTATCATTTGGCAATGCGTAGTTTGGTGGGCAGAAATTGGTAGCTGTGATTAAAATTGAAGGGCTTCCAGGGAGACACCATTTCCAATTAGGAGTATTTGTACATTTAAGTTCAAAGCAAGCTCCACAACTTAATCCATTGTTAAACAAAGCAGTACTTAGTGCTGCTGTGTTAACTCCGTATCCTTGGCTGTATAAATTTCCATAACCACAGGCACCACCCATTGTTCCAGAAGCATCACTTCCACCGTAAAATGTAGCATGTGCAGTTTGCCATGAACCACCAGAGTAAACACCAGGGATTCTTCCTTCAACAATGTTGAAACATGAGTCCACAAAAAGAAGAACAGCGATGATAATCATGATACCCATTCTTAATTGGGGCTTAAAGGCTTATGGAGTTGAGGTGGTTGAAGAAAATGATGGAAGGGGAAGGACTACTTATAAGAGAGAAAAGAAACGAAATTATGTGTATACCTAACTTTGGTCCTCCTTAATCAAAGGACATATTGGCGGAAACAAAAACATAAAAAAAGAGAGTATTTATTTTGTTTTTGGTTTTTCATTCGATGTCTAGAGCCCACATTGAAGATTGAAGTTTCATTGGAGGCTTGACTAAATACAGATCGTACACTGCAAGGCTTATTCAAAGATGGCGCTTCCAACATGATATTTTTTTCATAGCTCGAATCCAAAATCTCTAGTTAAGAGTGAAGTCGTCTCACCAATTTGATTTGATTTGATTGAAATGGAATGGAATAAAAAAAAAAAAAGGAAAAGATAGGTCCACATCAGAATAAAGGTCTCTCATGAAAACAGTTATTGCCGCTTTTTATCTTTAATTCCGTCAATCTGCTACACTTTTTACACATTTTCATTAATTACTTCCGAATTTTCCGCTCCCACTTTTCTCCTCTGTTTTATGGACTATCAATTCACACATCCATCCTTTTAACATTCTTGTACAACCGTTGAATTCAGGAAAATTGCCACAATATGCCCTATTCAACCAAATTTGAAATATAAGTTTCATCTTTTATAAATAACAAACTTCACTCATCATTTTATCAATATAACGACAAATTTAATAAACTTATTTAACGCACTTTCAATTTTTTCATATATGTCTACATTCAATCATACAAAACTGAAACACATGTTTAAATTGGCTAAAGTTTCAGTCATACGTATTTGAATGCAGAAGAAGAAAAAATATAAAATGAGTATTAGGATGATAAAAAATAGGACAATTCGTTAAATTCTTACGATTAGGTGGTACAGAGAGATCAAATTATGAGCCTAAAATGAAGGATAGCCATATTCCCCTAAGTTGCTTGTGTTTGAAAATTGCTGTTACGTTGGATAATTAATTGAAAGTAGGTACAAAAATAATAATTAACAGTCTCATCTCATTGTATGATATAAAATTCTGTCTTAAAGCATCATGTTTTAGGCCAAAACTTTGAGCATAATAATAGTAGTTTTTGTTTTTTTTTTTGTCTAGTAGTTGATTAGTGGTTTCACTTTTTGCCAGCTTAGCTGCTGGAAGTAAAAAATTTGAAGTTTTGAAAAATAAATAAATAAATAATATAGTGTGTTTGACAATATGGAAGGTGGCCAAAATTTGAGGTGAATTATCCGCAATCATCGGTCCATGTATTACGCCCTACATATCTCACTTGGGTCAAACTCCCTTTTTTCTTTTTTTTCTTTAAAGGGAAGCATTAGTAGTTGATGGTCTCACAAATCATGGATGTGGCTCCCTTCCAATAGTCTTTGGTTCCAATTCGTCTAATTAGTTTTAGAGCTTGTTTGACATTATTATTGAAAATTGTTTATATTTACAAGTATTTTTTAAAATATTATTTTAGAAAAATGTTTTCTTTTAAGAAAATAATTTATATTTGATTAATTTATTTGAAAAGTGTTTCTAATAAGGTTTAACTAATCTTTTTCTAAAAAGTACTTTTGTGAGTCATCAATGTACTTTTAATATTAAGATTATTTTATAGAGATAAATATATCTATTATAAAAATTTAATTAATCTAAAATGTACATATTCAATTTTTCAATCAATATTATATTTTTTATTCTAATCTTGCAAAATAATACGTTGGATAACATATAAAATGTAAAAATAATAAAATATATAAATGTAAAATAAAATAAAATAAATTTTTTATATAAAAATAAAAAATAAATTTTTAATTTAAATTTAACCAAACTTATGAAACTTACTAATTAATTAATAAGAGATATATTGATAAATATGTGTATAGGAAAATGATATTTTGGTTTTGAAAAAAATAATTTTCTGCTTCTACTTTTTCTAAGAAGCAGATTTTTTAACTTTTTCAAATGGAAGAAAACTGCTTCTTCTTCGATTTAAAAGTAGTTTTACTGATTTTCCAAACACTTTAAAATTTAAAATTTAGTGATTTGACCTGCCAACAACAATACCAAACAAGCTCTTAAATCTTATTATACTTGTACATTAACAAATCTAAGGATCAAAATCTGCTTAAGAAAAATAACTCATAAATCATGGTTAAACTAAGAATGTTCTAAAAAAATTATTTTGAATCTCACATCCCATGTCATATTAATGTGAGGACTCTTATTAATGGACATATGTGAAGTTAAAAGTCTTACTAATCCAATATTTTCTCTAAACTTTTTATCCTTTCCAATTTCCACACTACTCACCTAATTATTTCTTCGTCCAACAGTCCCTAATTTCTTTAGCTCAATATCTACGGGTGACTATTCTTCCATTTCCTCAACAGTTTTTTGAGTTTTCCTTTGAATATTGATTGGTCATTTTTTTATAGTAATTTTTAGTAATCAAAATATTATGAATTTAATTTTATTATTGTTATTGTCTCAGTAGAGAAAGACCACAATTTTTAGCAGAAAATAGAATTTACGGGAAAATGATTTAGACTTATATGGGTCGTGGAAGAAATTAGGGTGGGGAAAATTTTAATTAGAAATTACCTAAATACGCAACTTATTTTATCATATTCTCTAAAAATCTCTACCATATGAAAAAATTACAAAAGTCTCTGCTCTCTCCTATTCTCGAATACATCACTTTACGCGATGTATCGGGATGTACACGATGTATCAGGACGCTGAGTGATGTACTAAAGCATTGAATGATGTATCAGAAATTGAGATGTGATATATCAGAAAGTTGAGTGATGTATGTGAAATGTTAAGCATAGAGTAGCTGCTAGTCATTTATTTCAGTTAGTTACAAATGAATAGTAAAAATCCAAAAGTTAGTTTGTTATAGGTTAACTATGGTCAGGTTAACATTAACTATACTAGTTAGTTTACAGTTGTTAGTAGATAAGTCACACTATATATGTTGGTACTGATTCATTGTATATGCTCTTGATCTAATAATACATACAGAATACAGTTTCTCTTTTCTATGCTGCCATAGCTGCTCTTAATTCATCATGGTATCAGAGCACGAGAGAGTCCTTTGAAGATCGATTTCTCTTAGATCTTTCTGCTTTCAGTGTAACTTGTAGCTCTTTAGAGGAGGTGCTGCATTGTCCATAAAGTAATTCAGATCGTTTTTTGTTTTTTACTTCAATAGCAGCTTCATTAATGGCACCTGAGATTTCTACCAGTTCGGAGCAAGGAGGAGTGATTGTGATTGATGCACATCATCCACTGTATCTTCAAGCGTGTGATACTCCAGGTAGCTCCTTGGTTTCTATTCAGCTTACGGGATTTGAAAATTACTCTTTATGGAGTAGATCTATGAAAAATGGATTGCTAGGTAAAGGTAAATTAGGCTTTGTTGATGGCAAATGTCTCAAAAGCATGTACCCTGCATCTCTGCATGACCTCTGGAAAAAATGTAATGCTATAGTGCTCTATTGGATCATGATCTCTGTTAGTAGGGAATTACTCAGTGGTATAGTGTATGCAAGCAGTGCTATACAAGTTTGGAATGATCTAAAGGAAAGATTTGACAAAGTTGATGGTTCTAGGATTTTTTATCTACACAAGGAAATTGCAACCCTAAGTCAAGGTGTTTCTTCAGTTTCTAGCTATTTTTCTAGACTCAAAGAGCTATGGATGGAATTTGACTCTCTCATGCCTTGTCCTGGTTGTGCATGTGAAGTGTCAAAGACATACGCTGTTCACTTTGAATATCAAAGATTGATGCAATTTCTTTTAGGGTTGAATGAATCCTTTAATCAGTGTAGAAGTCAAATAATTATGATGGATCATACACCTAGTGTGAACAAGGCATACTCCTTAGTAATGGCTGAGGAGTGTCAGAGGATCCTTGATAAAGCCAATATAGCTGGAAGTGAAGTCTCCTCTAATTCTATGATCCCTAATTCAAGTCAGTTGAGTGTGGCCATGGCATTAACAAGGGGTATCCTACTAGCTCAGGCTCAGGATCTACTTCAGTCTCTAACTACAGATCTCAGAAACCTCAGAATAATAGTAACTTGTATTGTGACTATTGTAACCAGAAAGGGCATACTAGAACTATATGCTTTAGCCTTCATGGTTATCCTGCTAACTGGAGAGGTAAAAGAAGAACCAGTCCTAGCCCTACCACTGCAGCCAACCTTGCCAGAGTCAACTCCACTAATGGTTGCCTCATGGAGTACACAAACTTCACTGGTCAAGGTAGCTCTTCTGGTAACAGTTCCAGCAGGCCTCAGCTGAACCAAATCCCTTCACCAACAGGTTCTATTGCCTTCAATCCAAATTCTTCTCATGCTCTTATGACTAATCTGCAACACTCAGTATTAGTGTCCTCAGTATCAGTATCCTCAGTAATGGCAGTACCTGTATCCACACAGCCTCCTCACCAATACCTGCAGACGTCTCATCTTCCAGCTCCTGAGAATGATAAGCTTACTAGTGATTGTACTATGAGAACATCAGGTATGTTAAGTTGTTCTCACTACACTGTCGATGATAAATGGCTAGTAGATTCAGGCGCTTCCAAACATATGGTAAACAATATGCATCTACTAACCAAGTCCACCAATATCTGTGATTCTTCAGAAGGAAAAGTTCACTTGCCTAATGGTAGCCTAGCTCAGGTTGATCACATTGGTTCTTCTCAGATCCTTGGAGGGATTGAGATTACCAATGTACTGCATATTCCTGAGTTCAAATACAATCTGCTTTCAGTATCAAAGTTGACTAAGGAGTTGAATTGTTGTGTTTACTTCTATCCTGATTTCTGCTTGTTTTAGGACCTCTCCAATGGGATCTGTATGTGCTTCATGTTGATTGTCAGTTGAAGTCACAAGGAGCTCCACTTACCTCCACAGCTAATGCAGTTTTTGTTTCTAAACATTGTCCTCCAATTATCTCTGATAAGAGTAGCTTTTCCCTTTAGCATAGAAGACTAGGACATGTATCTT